CCTGGAGTGTTACCGGGGTAGTGCAGAGCTTGGTGCGGGAGTACAAGAGTAGTGATGAGAGCCAGGAGGGAAGGTAGATCGTGACTGAGGTGTAGAGGGAAGGGGAGCAGTGGGTTGCAGAAGCTCAGAGGTTTGGCAGCTGCATTGTGCAAGATTTCTCGCACCGCAGGAAGCACAGCCGTAGATTGACATGGGAAAGGAGAGATGCTTCTACTCACTACCTGGTAAGTTTTTATGCCTTTCTGGACTCTGCTCTTCGACCAAAGATTGCATTGCTGCTCATCATCTACGTTACACATGCATAAGATAAATACCTAGGAAACGGATCTAAGTTATCCAGATAAAGGTTTGGTGAGCTCTAAATGACCCAAGAGAGAACATACAACATCAAGAGACATGGTTGAAGTGCGTGCAGCTGATGGGAGAAAGCAGGCTGGCGGGAACGAGGAGAGGAGAATCCGGCACGTGACCAGATGAAGCGCGTCGTACCAGTCGGCCCGACAGCGGATACTTGGAGCCGCCGAGAGTCCACACCTTGAAGCGACCTTGACTTACCTTGAGCTGACCTCAAAGCGACCTTGATGGTCGATTTTCATACTCCGCTCAAGGCAAGGTGCACATTGACGTGAAGTGACCTCACTTCGCGGCAACACTACTCCTTCCTTGCTCGCTGTTTCCCTTATCCCCGCCCCGTTCAATTTGTTTGTTATCCTTCGCTCGTTGCCTGCGCTCGCTCGAGGGGATGTGTTGGAATCCTGGCGTCAAGATGGCGAGCTCGCGGAACGAGCGCCACAGGTCCCGCCCCCCGACGGATATCCGCGCCCTTATCTACCCCTATTCTACTGTGTATATAAGGTCTATTGTATGTACTACGTACGGCACGCGTTTGCACCGGCCAAACGCGAATCCCATTTGTGCCCGCTTGCCCTCGAACTTCTACATGTTCTCGCCGAAAGCGCTTGCCAGGTTGCAACGGCCACAACGAATGGCAGCTGCAAGACTCGGGCAACATCGTCATGTGTCAAGCATGTCAAACGTTACTGTCCAAGGCTTGAAGAGGCTCGATTGTCTGCGGCATTGATTTTCCGGAACAAGTTTCTGAAGTCTACTCGCGTCCACCGGCTACCCACAAGACCTCCGCATACTATCACACTGACGTTGCAACCTAGAGTCAATCATGTGCAGAACGCCCCCAACCTTGCGAGCTGTCACCGTCAGTAGGTATTCAGTTGTCACCGTCACGAATTTCTTGCATCTGCCATTCCGCATCATGATGTGCTCGCGACTGCAAACAAACGGACTCACACTACCGCAGAGCATGGGACAATACGGTTAGCACCGCCGCTTGCATTAGTTGTCGACTCTTCAACATCCATATTAAGGCATTGGTTGAGTATTGTCATGATGGCGCGCTAGGTGGTCGCATGTCCCTTTGCATGCATCACGAAGCCACTGATGACGCGTCTTCGTAGACCTTACGCACTCGTTGTGTGCACGAAACAGAACCATCAGATGGACTAGCCTTCCGGGGTCGTAATTATCGCGGCACCCGGGCTTGTGCGCAAGCAGTCTTTTTTGTTCTTGCAAGCTCCTTATTCGCTCATCTCATGGCTACAGGACCGAATCATGTTGAGTCGTTCCAACTATCCGCTTTCTTCCCCTCATCGTCCTGCTTTGAGGTGTTTCGCTAAGCCGTACGTGCTCGCTTTCCCTACTTAACTTCGTGTCCTCTATAGTTCACCACCAGATTGACTCACATACCCGTACAAGTGGCCGAGCACGAAGGCTTGCCAATTGTAATGGAAGAGGAAGATCACGTGGCAAAGCAGGACAAGTCCCGGCAGGTACGACGAACTGCCCTCTTCATACGCCGACAGCTGGCCCGCTTTCACCGCTCTTATGGTCGCTAACCTCTTCCAGGAGGCATGTTTGGCACTATTACAGTTGTCTGTGCCCGTGATACGTCGATCAGAGCGTTTGCGCAAGCAGGCCAAGTCACACACTCCCACAATTGTGCCCACTCCGCCGGCTACGCAGCCGGAGAAGGGAAGCGAAGCCGGACGGAAGCTTTCTGCTACAATGGTAGGCCCGTCCAACGCCTACCGGTCTTCTCAGAGATCCAGGCGAAAGCGCAGACGCAGCGACTTGTCGACGGACGATGTCCTATACGCCCCACCTGAGTCCGCTCCAAAGCGCAACCGAACCCGTCGGCCACCCATCGCCGGTCAAGCCCTTGTCGTGGTCGAGGGAGAGCAGACGATACACTGCGAAATCTGTTCAGAGAAGCTTACCCTCACGGATCTGGACGCTATAGTGAAGCATTTCAGCGGGCACTACCACAAAAAGCAGAAGGCGACACGCGTACCTTGCTTGTGGGGGAATTGCGCTGTCAAATATAAAAACTTCCAACAGGTAGTCCGACACCTAAAGCAGGACCACCTGAAGGTGATGTGGGCATGTCCCCATTGTGGGGAGCGGTTCGGGAGGATAGATTGCGTGAGAAGGCACCAAGAAGCGAGAAGGGCTTGTGTCAGTAATCAAATGCTTCATCCGCCCTCATCACCGTTCTTGACTGAGTCCTATATAGCCCGCGAAACAAGACAAGAAACGGCAACTATCAACCTCAAAGCCGAGCGGAAAAGTACAGAAGGGCCGATAACTCGAGATGTTAGGGGCGTGGTCCAGGAAGCCGTCTCCCCTTCGGTGGTCTTCAGGCATGTTGGGTTATCGTACACCGTACTCCCGCTCTTTGTACTCCTGTACTGTACATATCATGCGGGATACTACTTGAAGAGGGACGCGGGTACTTGACACACCGTCACGGAGTCTCCGAGATGGCAGAATTGGGAAGCGATCCAACAAAAGGCTGGGGTACAAAGTATATAGAGAGGAAAAATGACGACGTCATATTGTTACATCGCGGGGTCGGACAGCTAGCAGTATGTATGGAAATATCAGGGGTGGGTACAGGTCATTTGTATGCGAAGATGAAAGCATGAGAGCAAGTTGACGGAAACAGTGTCCATAGGTACAAAGGAACGATATTGAACGTAGAATTACGCAAGAAGGGGAGCATAACCGCCACTGGGTTGTGGTCGATGTAGTGGTTCGAGTAGTTCGGCAACGAGCCTTACAGTATTGATCTCAGCACAGTGTAACAATCTACATAAGTCAATCAAGGAGCTCACCTTCATGCTATCACCAACCACGATGATCCGTCGAAGATGCATCGGAATGGGAACGACGCTGATCTTGCGCAACCATAGACACGAATTCCTCCGGCGACATTATGCATACGCCCTCGCGCTGCGATAGATGGCGGCTTTCCAGTTGATGATCGCGCGATGGGACTTGGGACGTCGAGTATCTCCGTTTCAGAGCGGGACGAGCAGGACGCGATGTCTTCGCGGGTTTGGACGGCGTTGGAGGGACGTCTTCTCTGTCGGGTAGCGGGGCGAAGCTTACGCGCCGTTTGCCGCGAGCCTTGGCACGGTTGTGCCTTTGCGGCCCCCAAGGGACAGCGTTCTCATCCTGCCTGCGTTTCGCTGGTGTCTGCGGAACTATCGGGGGAGGAGGCATGCAAAACGCATGGTTCTCGGATGTGGATGCGACGAACGCAGTAGTGGCGACAAATGTGCTTTGGATCGGGGGAGCGTACGTAACGGTGGTGCAAGACATTGTGGAGATGCGTCGTAAAGCAAGAGTAGATCGCGGAAGAGGGCGGATGGAATGGACGTGCGGTGTTCCTAGATGGTGGTTGTCAGACAATGGGAGCGGCTCGGCAAAAGGCATGTTGAACACGAACGCGCGCTACAGCGGACCTCGTGCCGGGCCGATGCCACTCACCTCCCGCCACTTGGTTGTTTGTGAGCATATTCTCCATGCTTCTAACGAACCCTACAGCATAACTGTACTAGCCAATTTAGTGCTGGAAAGGTAAATCGATGCGTGCCCGTCAGCGGATGTTCGGGGACGCGTATATTGTGAGTGTCACCTTTCTTCTGCCAGTGGTTACTGAAAATCGACTTGCATTGCGTTCAGGACTCCGGATCGTAGAGATGAATATATGCGAGCAGATCGCATGGCGTTGATCGTCGTCCTATATTCACTGCGAGATCGACCCGTTTCGTACAGTATCATAATACTTATCACAGTTGCGGTAATCATGTGTGGCTCCAGTCCGAAACGGCCTTGCTAGAGAACACTGACCTCACAGTGCGTGGTCTATAAGAGGAAACTTTCGATGGGTTACACGGTATTGCGACCAATTCTAGAGGCCCCAACCGTACGAAGCCTCTTCAGAGGCAGAGCCACTCCACGGCAAGTAGTGCGAGGTAAGCCTATCTCAAGACCGAATTCAATGCATTAAGCATGCAATACATGCAGTCGTTAGCTTATGACGTAGTGCCTTGCTCTCAAACAGCTTTGAGGAGCTATCTGGACGCAAGGTCTGACATACGCAAGGTATATACCGTTGCATGGCAAGCAGAACGCGAATGTCTCCGTGAATGGGAACAACAGCTTACAAGTGTCGGATATTAGCTCTACAGCAGTATCATTGAAGCTGCAGCAACTGGAACTATGCCTGGCCTTCAAGTATTGATTCGCTTCGAATATCAGATACCCAGGACCTTAGGTTCAGCAGACGATATGGGCCAGCAACTGTACGTCATATGTTTCTATTATATTTCAGATGTCACCATTTATCAGACACAAAGAGAACGAACGCACCGTTCTCTGCGCAGCCTACCTCGCATTGGCATACGGACCGAAGGAACTTTTCGGAAGGGTCCGCCCTTATTCAATGTTTGGGGGACATCCTGTACACTGTGAGTAGCTTACACTTGCATGATCCTTAGGCTGTAGCTGATCATCAGAGGATATAGATGTTTGGTAGGCAATCAGGAGGTGCTTGAGACTTTGGAGGGGCAACTGCCCCGCTGGCATGTTGGACGGGCTGGACCCCGGTCACCCGGAGCTGTGTGTCCATCTGTGCGCTTCGCGGGAACCTCGACAGCACAGCATCGCGAATCGGTGGCAGTATCGTCGTACAATTTTCGTCTGTAGAATCGCTGTCGCAGTCAGCTATATTCCAGGCAAGTGGAAGACTCGTGTCTAAGTTAGCATAAGCGCTTATATCGTTTTCATTGCCCTGTGCAGAGTCCACTCAAAACGAAAACGCACTAGTTCCACAACTCGAATGTCACACACGGATACCGAATCCGACGGTGGAATGGATCTCGGTGATGTCTTCACTGTCAGTATGCTATCAAGCAGGAGTCCAATCTGCTCATCCATCGCAAAGGAGCCCCCGAGACCACCATCGCCAGAACCTACAACGGCCGTTTATACTCGAGAACGCTCTGATCAGACCGATTGGACGACAATCAATCTGCGCTTAGTTGGCTCGCATCCTCTATGGGCACATTATCTGTGAGTATATGATGCACTATCACGAGATTGATGACCGAGTGTTAAGGTTCTAGTTGGAATGCGTCGCTTGCTTTCGCGTCGTACCTCGATGAGCATGATGCTCTTTATCGCGATCGCTTCGTCCTGGAGCTCGGCGCAGGCGGCGGACTGCCAAGCATAGTAACTGCCAAGAACGGGGCCCGGAAGGTGAGCCATCACCCTTAGGACGGTCGTCTGGTTTGATCTGAGGGCTGTCATCGTTAGGTGGTGATTACTGACTATCCAGATCAAGCGCTGATAGACAATTTATCTTACAACGTCAGCCAAAACCTTGGGGAGACCGAGAACGACGGTGTTGCTGTGCAGGTATCACACACTTTTATGCCACTGACCTGCCCTCTAAGTCACGCATATATAGGGTTACATCTGGGGACATCCTATTGAGAAGTTGCTCCAGCTGCTTCCAGACAATGAGCCGGAGCGTGCATTCGATCTGATGATATTGTCCGATCTCATCTTCAACCATTCTCAAGCAAGTAGCTACGGAACTCATCCACCGCATATGCTAACATTGTCTCTAGCACGACGCGATGCTCAAGACATGTGACCTTGCTCTCGCGAAATCAAGACCCGCATGTGTCTTGGTCTTCTATTCTCATCACCGACCACATCTCGCACATCGCGACGTGGAGTTCTTCAGGAAGGCGCGGGAGAACGGCTGGACCTGCGACGAAATTTTGACACGAAAATACCCTGTACGTACATTCTTCGGTGCTCTAATGCCGTTGTTAAGGGCCCACATCATAGCCTATGTTCCCCGAAGACCCGGGAGAGGAAGAGGTGCGAGCGACAGTACACGGATGGCGGTTGACCCGGGCGTCTTAGCTCTCGTGGACCGTTTCCCCTCACGGACCGTAATGTATCAAGCACAGAAATAAAGGTCATCTATAGTGTGCTACTGGCGGGGCTTTGTCGATGCTAGTGCTGACGGAGCGGCTCTAGCAGAGGGATGAACCTCAGGCCGGGGTTGTGATCACGTTCGATGAGACGACAGATCAACGATGAAAACCACTGCGTGGGCAGAACACGACGTGGTTGTTGGCGGGAGCAGCGATGCAGTTGACGTCTGGACTAAAACAGGCAGCTGAAAGCGAGACAACGGGAAGTGCGGTGAGAAAAGATAGAGACTAAACTAGTGAGACACGAGGATCACAAACACGAGCGGAACAAATATGATGGATTCAGATAGTACATGCGATAGGTGTTCGTAGAGAGTAAACGGACAATGGCGGTAGCGTAGAGACAGCAAGAGCCAGTAAGAAGGAGATTGCAGCACAATGGAAACAGATCACAATGACGGCAGAAAGGGCATACAGTAGCGATGTACCCAAGGAAGACAAACAAGCATCTAGTCCCTCCTCCGCTTCCTGGCGTGCTGTTTGCCCTTCTTCACCGACTTCGACGGCACATAGTCCTCGTCGTACTCGTCGTTGGGATCCCAGTGCTGCTCAGAGTTGTCGTGGTACTCTTCCTCTTCGAAGTCTTGCACACAGCTCCGAGAGCGCTTTCGCGGGTTAGAAGGCCCAGCTTCGGGCTGCTCTGGCACTGCAAAAACGTGTGGACGTCAGAGCGCGGGCCAGTTGTGTGCGTACAGAGCTCGTGAGCTTACTAGGCGTTGACACTTCGAAGTCCCTCGGGCCATCTGCCTGCAAGTGGGCAGCGCGTTTCTCCCGCTCCACGGGACATCGCTCCATGTGGCGTGTAAGAGCATCCGCGCGACTTATTGACCCACCCCAACGACATGCCGGATAATTCGGACACCGGTAGCAGGCCCCAAAGTGCTGGCTGAAGTGACGGCCAGTGTCGCGAAATTTCAAGGTCTTGGTACAGCCTATCCACCGACATCGAACAATGCGGTCTGTTTGTTTCTCGTCGGCTGCGTAGTGCACCTCTCGGAAGTGCTTCCGTGCCGCCTTGATGCTGATGAGTGGGAAGGACGACTTGCACCTGGGGGTCGTCGCGTCGCCGTCGACTGCCCCTGCCGCGGCGCACCCGCACCGGTGGATCTGCTGTTTGCCAACTATGTACCGCTCGGAGTCCTTGAGTGGCTTGTTTCTGACGCGAGTCAAACCCTCTCTGATCGTCATGGCACTAGCGGCGTGCGCTCCCTCCTTCTTCAAGTACAGCACCGACCTGCGGCTCTTCGCGCGGGGAGGCTTGCGAGGGGCTTCTGGCCGGCCTTGTTGTCCACGCGCGGGTCGATTTTCTGGACCGTGTGAGGTGGTAGACGGGCATGGTCGGGGAAGGATGGTCTGCGGCTTCTTCGCCGCGTCTTCGTTTTCATGACTCGGTGCCCCGCGTCTGGGGCGGAGCTTGCGTAGTTCTTGATCATTCGACATGATACGGTGGGGAAAGGGGCAGGCAGAAGTTGGAGTTCGGGAGGGACTGTGTGGTGGGAGGTGAAAGTGGGGGGACGAAGAGGCGCCGTTGTTGAACTCGCTTTTTACGGCTCAGTCGGGGCAACCGAAGCCAGCGGATCGAGGCGCGGCTTGCCAGGCAGGCCTCTCCGTCTATCCTCTGACAACAAAAGACATAATGAACAGACTGAGTACCCTGAACTTACTTTATTCACCACAGCAATGGTCCCAAATACTGACCGCCACCAGCCACGCTTTGCACCGCCAACTCACAAAAGGCTCGCCCGCTTGGACGCTTCACTACTTCACCCATTCAAAACGAACGCTCTCGAGCGTCTCCTTACTTTGCTCCTTGTTCCTCCTTCCGGTTATGCTCACCGTTGTGTCGGCCACCGTGACGCTTTGACCCTATCGCAACTACATCCCCTCCTACGAGTAGAAGCTCGACGCGTCGGATCACCAATGATACTCCAGCCCTACTGCGCAAAATGAACGAAAGAAGATCCGAAGGAGAATACCTCAAACTGGTACAGCGAACGCCAATGCTTCTTGACTAGGCACAAACGCTTCGAACTCCCTATGGAGATCAAGCCACCGCCTCTATCAGCTGGTGCTCTACGACAAACGCCCAGAGCTCTCACCTCTACGCGTCTCTACGCTAGAGAACCAGATCTATGGCAGCAAGCAGTATCAGTGACGGAGAAGAGACGGACACGGAGACCTGCAATGTAAGTGGTCAGTAGCGACGGCGAGCGTTTCGGTGGGTTGTATATTCCCTCGCCACAACCCGGCTAAAGCATAGGGTCAATAGGCATAGAACCTGACCCCGATATGAGAGGTTGTGGATCAGGCCATTTGCTGAACCCGGCCATTTGCTGAACCCAGCCATTTTCTGAACCCGTTGCTGTCGCGTGAGCCACTCCGACGCGCACCTCTTCCCTCGCAGCGCGAGCCATATAAATCATGGAGCACGCTCTTCCGCCGGTTCGCAATCGCCATGTTCTGCAAACAGCTTTGTCTTAGGTGAGCACTCTGCACTATATTCCGCGCTGTACGCCTCCTGAGCACGGCTCTCTGAGTCTCCAGATTGTTGCATTGTCGAGGTGGCCGATGTCACAGCATGATGCTCGCCGACTATACGTTTGTGACGACCGTTAATGATTGCAACTCATCCCGTGGACCACGTCCCTACCTGAAAATTTTGGTGAGTGTCTGCGCATGCATAGAGTTTGCTACATTGCTCACGCTAGGCTGAAGGTTGGAAACGCACCACGTATCGAGCGCCCGCCGCCGAGCAGGAACGACACCAAACTCGGCCACCTGAGGAGTGGTCATATATCCCGCTTTCCTTCAACATCATTATGTCATCCCGATTGCGTTTCAACAGGACATACAGAAGAGAACCAGTGAGTCCGTCCACTTGCAGCGGTTCGAGCACGGTTCGTGACAACGAGCCCTCAGTATATGCAGGGGCCAAGCAGCCTGTCACAGAGACGTATGTTCATCGCGCGGACACCGCTAGTGACCCTAAAAGACACAGCAAAGAATTCGAGGCTATCAGAATGGGGAAACTTTGAAAAAAGGGCCGGGTGAGTAACATATACCATGGACGTGGTGCTTCCCTGTCGCACTGGCCACGAATCACATATTGATCCCCGAAGTAAACGCACATTGACATCGTTCATGGTCTCGATTGGGCTCGCTTTCACAGACGCAAGATAACGACCTCTGTGAAGATGATACTAGGGCCGACGGTCTAGAACGGGCGACACGCATGAAAGGCGGCTTCCCGTCGTCGTGCCTCGCGCAGTTGGGTGAGCATCACGTCTAGAACCTGGGTAGACCGACAGGTGCTGCTCACCGCTTCTATACCAGATCAGAACAAATGGCTTGCCGGTTGTGCCATACGACAGCCGTACAGGGTATGCGCGGACTTACAGCGTCATCCTTGTCGGGAGGTCAGCCATGTCTTCTGGAACTCTACGGGGAGGTCCGGGTTCCCTAGATTTATCGGCTGAGGTGGACTGAGAGGCTACGTTTCGCAAACAGGACAGGGAGAACAGAGCTGGTGGTTCAAATGCACTGCAGTTGCCGCTGCCAGTACTGATGATAAAGCCCTGTCGCATGCTTGGCGCGTTGCCGTCACCAGCCGGGCCGTCCACAATTTTGCCTTTCTAGGCAGTGGGAAATTGCTACCGCCGCCCTTTCGCAATGTGGCAATCCCACTCGCGAGTTAGCCACTCAGAACGTGAGCGCTATGACATTACGCACACTCAATAAACAGGTGTGTGCACAAGAAGTACGCTACTCGATAATAAGCATTCAATGCTATGTTGGACAGCGAGCGAAGCCTAAGACAGTGACAGAGAGTGGTGCTGTGGGATAACTATGTTATTAGAGCGGTAGGGGTAGACTACAGACGGCTCTACTATGTGGTAGCAGTGGGCTCGATTGTTTTTGACGGGTCTGCCTCCGCGACAAGCTCGGGATAGAGGAGAAGGCTACCGAGTCTCGGGGGTGCCTTACGGTCGATGAATTCCATGGAGGTAGGGAGCTTGTCGCATGCAAGACGAAGCGCTACGTGGATGCGAAGGGGAGCGACAGCATTTAAGAAGGCTTACTGGCGTTCACATAGACGGACACATACCTTCTCGTGCCAGCTCCTCACGGATGGGAGCGCCTCCCAGTTCAAAGAGGACACGTCCTGGCGCGACGCTATGAGGAGAAGCATGAGGATAGCGATAGCAGCATACGTGACGTGCGACGTACCGAGTCGCCCAGAACTCGAAAGAACCCTTACCCTTACCCATACGGGTCTCATTACCCTATATAAGATATATCTATTCACACTTCACTGTTTCGTTTGCACCAGGCGAAGACTACGAACCTTAATGCAGACCGGGATGTCGGGGAAGACCCGCATGTATACCTTCGCGCCCTTGATTGGCTTTAGCTTCCTCCGCAACGCCTCGTCTGCACTCTTCAGCTGCTTCGCAGTAATGCGCATCCCATTTCCCTTCACACGAATGCCCCATTCGCCATACGCGAGCGTCGTGCCCTTCGTCGAGCCGCCAACCGGGATGGGCAAGACGCCCTTGTGTCTCTTGATGAACTTGACTTGCCGCGGGGCGAGTTGATGCCGTTGGCGTGCGAACACCAACGACGCAGGCGACAAGGCCAGCGAGGGAGCATTGAGAGCAGCCCCAAAGGGTGATGACCACGTCGAGGGCCTCACGGCCGCCAGCAGAGACCGGGCAGATGGCAGAGAGAACATGGAGGACGTGTGCTTATGTAAGCGGCGCGAATTCACGAAGGACTCTTGATCGCGCCGTGCGCGCCTCTTGTCACTCTGTCTAGTGCGGCCACCCAAAACATTTACAGTCCCTGCTTGTCTCTCATCCGACTTGCTTTGTGCCATCATGAGCATGAGGCACCGGCTTCCACCTACCATGAAGCACCTCGTTGTCAGGCGCGCCACCCCTGACGCGCGGAACCTCGTGCTCCAGCTCATACGCGAGCACCAGTCGGGTCTCACGATCCAAGAGCTCTACAAACAGAGCATGGACTACCAGCAGAAAAACCTCACCAACACAGTCGAGGATGCGGACCAGGACTACGTTATCCCCTCTATGAGGTGCGCCGTGGTCCCGTCACGTTCCGCTCGGACATGCTCGCTCACACATACGCTGCATGCACGTCGCACAGGTACCTGAAGAAGGTCGTCCTCCCCGAGCTGGCGGACGCGGGACAGGTCGAGAAGGTCCACCTGAAACGGACGCTCTCCGCCGAGGAGGCGGACAAGCTACACATTGGCCTGGTCAAGTCCAAAAAAACAACACTTCTCGCTGGACAGCCGCAGTGGCTCTGGTTATGGCAGCTCAAGGCGAAAGAGCCGGAACAACCACCAAAGCCAGAGAAGAAGCCGTTCGGGGCGGAGGTGGGCGTCGGGGAAGACTTCTCGCATCTGAACAAGCGCAGGCAGAGGGCGAGGGTGGAGAAGGTCGTGCGGGACGTGCAGTGGATGAGGGAGCTTGAGAAGGTGAAAAAGGAGGCGAGGGTGCGCGCTTCATGACTCGGTGAGTTTCGTGGCGCGAACTGGCTAGGATGGATGATTAAACGTCATGCCACAGGCTGATGTTGTGCTATACCTTACTACATTCCTATGTTAATCGGTTCCTCCCGCTTCATCTTCTTCGTTCACGTCGACAGATGTCCATCTGTGCGTCGGCGCCAGTATGTTAGGTATGCTCAAGACGACCAGGCTATTCTGACTGTTTGAGGAAGCCTTGCGCCGCTGTCACTCAAGCATGTATTTTTTTTTGCAGACTATAGATGTCTGCTTCCGGACGCGCGCAGAGCCCAGGCGCTTGGAATACGCGATAGTCGCTAACGCCTGTGTTTTCGTTCGCGTCCACGGTCCTATCGCAGGTTCTATGTGGAATATGTTCCCGAGGTCGCTCGCATCAGACTTGGTGCATGCTGCCCCACGTACTACCGTTCAAACCCGTCCTAATATCTATGGAATATGCCGGGACCTCCTCCAGTATGAAGACATGTAAGGTCCGTAGCGCAGCAAGTCGAGAATACGGCGAGGTCGGGATGTTTCTTTGCATCCTTGGTTGCGCCTGGCCTCTCTTCAAGATTGATGATCACGCCAGGGTTGTTGCGCAAAAACTCTAGGACCTAGCCGTGCAGGGGAGCCGTCCTTCGTTCTTTCTTGCACTCGACTGAATGGCTGGAAAAAAGGATGACCACGTCCGCGGCCACGATCCACGCAAGTCTTCCGTTTCCTTCCCGAACAGGTTATCCTTGACCGCAACCATGTCTTGGACGCGGTCGCGGTGGGACTGCGAGGGAGACCAGACTCTCATGAAGCCCTCATCACCGTCTCATCCACGCGAAACTCTTCGGCTTTCCAGGAACCTTGAATCGAAGCGCAAGCAAGGCGCGATCAGTAGGCCAGACCCCGCCTGGCATCATCACGACCCGCCCAGACCAACTTCTGCCATCTTCAAGAACATATAACCTGCTTGTCTCGCAGGAGGAGGGATGACCCGCAGGATAGCGCATCCCTATTGCGCCGCCAAGGGTCATGCGGACAGTGCCGTACATCGAAGTCGTACCAAAATATCAAGGGCGTTCGGTCGGTTCGTGAACATTCATCGTCTTCCGGATGGATCCCCGCTATAGTCGTCCAGACCCTGCTGCAGGAAGGTCGATGGCCTTGACCCGACTCCCGCATGCGTCGCCCGTGGTGTCCGAGGGGAAAGTCTGTCAGCCATGGTGGCTTGGGCGCACATGGACAACCCTTTTGCAGGTACCTTCCGAGACTTCACAAACGAACACGGTTGCAGAGACATTCGAGTCTTGTGCATCTCATCTACCACGACGTTTATGGGACTTGCAACAAGCCACCCACAGCCGGCAGGCTCTTGCGACGGTTGGTGGCCCCTTCCCAGATCGTCGCCTTAGATCTTCGAGCGTCGGGATCATACCAGGTCGGCGGCGACCACGAACATTGCCGACCCCGGGCCCTAGACAGCCCTAGGCGTTTCGTCGCCAGTCGGGCGCCGCGCGCGGGGGAAGGAAGAGCGGCGATCATGAGGTGTCGAAAACGCTATGTAGCATCCCGGATGTCACACCAGAACACATCCCCGATAAGTATAATGAGCTCACGTCTACTCCAGATATTAGCATGTCTCCCGACTGGATCTCAGCATGGGCTTTCGCCACGATGCTGCAGGACCAACGATCTTGCCTCTAGCGCACCAACTGATTGTCCCGGGCAGCGAAGCCGTGGAGCAGTGTAGGCTGTGGGTCATCCGCTCAGAGATTTCTTGACTGATAATGAGAGCCAGACACCCGTGCGAAGGTTCGTGGATTTGCTGGCGCATCGAGTTGCCAGATGTCGGAAGAGGAACAGCTTCTTTGGTGCCAACAGTCTCCCATTACCGACGCCACACGGGTAGCACTCTCTACACGTAAGGCGCTCTCGAAGAACCACCAAGCCGGTTTACATTCCCGGGCATTGCTTCCGCTGTTACGCTGTTGATATCGAAGCGAAGATCTGTTAGTATCTGGCGGCGCAATATCACCCAATCCGTCCAGGTCCGTAGGCTCCTTTCTCCTCATTGATAGTGGCCACTGTATGCTGAGTCTTGAGCATGAACCCTGTTGCGTTATAGAATGCTTTACCCCGATTGCTGCTCCTCTTCCTGATCGTCGGACGAGATGCATCTTATGGTCCAAATAGAACGAAATTGACTCGTCACACGAAGAGGACAACGGATCACGATGCCGGGAACGAAGAACGAAGGAATTATGCCCAAGGGAGCCTACACCCTAGCCTCCTGCGTCCCGGGTATAGTCGCGAGACTACACCGCCGACGCCTGACGTCTCGTGCATCTCAGCAACCTATTCAAATTACATCCGCAGTGATTCCGCCAGCGGGCCCTTGATGAGCTGTCTTCCACACGCCCAGTATGCTTAGAGCGTGCACAGCCTTCTGGCAGAGCAATGACAAGAAAGGGAGCTTTGGCACTTCTTTCCGGTACTCATGATAAGTTTGAGCTAAAACTTACTCATCACCACCCCCCGAGTAGGCACATGCTCTCAAACTTCGGCAACCGATACTTTCGGTAGCCACGAATCATCCCCCATAGTAGGCTGTGCGATTAGCTCGGTCCGCACAAGACAATGACAATCTGCGTGTCGCATCCATGAACCACATACTGCATTCCCATAGACACGCCATCAAGTGGTAAGCCCACGCTTCTGGCGCCGGTCACCGCCCTAAGACCGCATTCTTGCCTGATGAATATCTCAGCAGGAGGCTCGTGTTTTTATAGACGTGCGGATTACGAAGATACAGCAGATTCAGCAACACGGTTACGCACCCCGAGGCGTTTAGACCAGAAGCAGCTTAGATCATTCCGAATTTTCAACACGAAATACAGATACGTCAAACGTCTCTAATCTCACAGGAGAAGGCTTGACGGAGCCGTTGCGATCGTGGGACGAGACACGCTTATGCCTCCATCAGCTTCTCGCTCACCATATACCCTGCTTCTGCAGTCCCCTCGATGGCTACACAACGTCACGGCGAACGTGTCCGCACGTCGGTGTACCTCTCGATGGACATCTCCGTAGAGCCTATCATCCTAACTCCCAACAATCTCCTGCTGCCGACGTCAATTTATACCGCCGCGCTCAACGTAAGGCGCTCTGGCCCTTCCACATATACAGAAAACCTTCTGGCCACAGGGGATCAATAAGAGTATACTGCCTTTGTTGGTCGACCTGCGCCCGCCGTTCTTATCCTGAGCTCACCACTCATCACATATGAGTAAAGCGTCGACCTCCTCCTCGTCCTCAGCACCATGCAGAATCTACGGCCGATGGATCAATCAAGAGATGGTCGTACCCCCAGATCAGCACACCCCCATCCTCGTTCACGTCTACGACATACCCATCCCCCCGTCGAAGCCGCTTACCGTTGGACTCCGCGTACAACTCATCGGCCTCTCTCCAACATCATATCACAACCGCGACTTCTGCCATGCCTCCCCACATTACGACACATACGACCCGCAGATCGAGGGCGAGGTCGTCGCGCTCAAGTCGCTTGGCAAGTCTGTCGTCGAGTACGTCATCAAAAACGAGCGGCCGGGCAAAGTGCACTATGCGTACATCGCGGTGCGCTACCTCCCCGGGGTCACCGCGAAGATGGGGCTGTGGGAGACGACGTGCCACTGGATGTTCTCGCATGACATGCGTGATTGCAGGCCGGTCGCGTATGAGGCAGATGCGCGTGTAGCGGACAACTTACCCGCATCTCCGACTCCTCCAGTGCGCTTCACGTACCCCAACCCGGAGTCGGCAGACACGCTCATGGTCGGCGTGAGGGTAGGGAGGGAGACCAGAGGTGGACCCAAGAGAACTCCCCCACGAGACGACCGGGGTAGTAGTACAGACAGTTTGCGTTGGCCTTCGGATACGGATACGGACACGGAAACGGATACGAAGACGACAACACGGCATGCATAGCACTAGCTTGGTTCTCGGACAGGGACAAGACGAGAATACCACACGATGTAATAGTGATACTGTATAAAGGCACCTGAATTAATTTAATTGTGATACACGCAACAAATAGCATTCCTAACCATTCGCTGGTATGATTCCATAGACCAGAGACAACGACAACGAAAGCGACACTGTTGACGATGTTTAACGTCCCACGTCGGGCTCCAAAAGGCTCCGTTGACCACGATATAAAGTCAACGTCACTCAGAACAACTCCTCCTCCTCCGGCTTCCAGTTCTTCGCCTGGTCCCAGTAGCCAGCCAACTTATGGCCGAGCGCCTCCTTGGCCATCGCGTCCGTCGGGCAGCTCTTCGGCTTGAAGTTGTTGAACGCGCGGTCGCGCAGCTGACCCTCCCACACCAGCCAGCACTCGTTGTCTTCCAGTGACACCTGCCCGTCCGCGCCGCTATCGGCAGCGACGACTTTGCCCTTCCCCTTCCCACCGCCCTCGCCCTCCTCGTCCTCAGCAAGCTCGACATCCTCGTTGCCACGTTCACGTGATGCCTCGGTCCAGGCAATACGGTGAAGCATTAGACGTTTGTACTGGCGAATGAACTTGGCGGCGCCCTCGACGTAGACCATGCTGAAGTGGGGGTTGAAGATGCACACGCCGGTCAGGTTCATCTGCTCGGCATTCTTGCGAACCTTGAAGCGGTGCGATGGGTCCGAGAGCGTCTTCACCCTATTCAAGCGCACGTCAGTACTCGAGGCGCGCAGGAAAGGAGTTGAAGGCGCAGCGGTATGTACGCACTTGAAGACGGCACCGTAGATGCCCTTCTTCTCTTCCTCGGTCTTCTTGGTTTCGATCTTCTCGCGCCGCTGCTCGTCTGTAAGTTTGCGCTCTGCGTTCGCCTTCTCGTGCTGATGCTTGCGCATGGCGACCTCTCGCCTGACACGAGCTTCGACACGGGTCGGGTCTTGCACCGCGTCCGAGGTCAAGACTTTCATCAGGTTTGCCAAGCGGACTGCAACAACACCACTGTGTCAGACGGGAAAGGTGAGCAACGGAGGACATCAACGTACCCTTGGGGGGATCGGGAGGAATAAGACCCATCCGGATCCGATCGCGCTTGTCCTGCAGCTCGGCCTGCCGTCGTTGCTTTCGCATCTTCTTTTGCTCCTTCTTGGTGAGCTTAAGCGGCTTGTGCGTGGGCTTATTCTTGTCGCCAGGCGCGGGAATGGGGATGGGATGTTGGATGTACAGGGTGATCGGCGATTTGCCATTTCGAATGTTCAGATTTGCCAAACCCTGCTCCAGGTCGCTGTACGACTTGCTCGGCAATAGCGCTGCGTCCCACCACTCCGCCTCAGGAGGTGCATCTCTCTGCAAGAACCATACGACCTTAGCACCCGCCGTACCACCTACAGGATTCGCGAGTCCACGCACCCTTATGTTCTTCTCAAGCGTCTCAAATTCGGTGTCTAGACCGGCCTTCTTGGCGCTTTCCGCGATACGCTGCTTGAGCTGCTCGAGTTGGGCCTCCTGCCTAACCTGATTCGCAATCTGCACGTACTTGCCCTTGGGGTTAAAGCGGAACTGCCGTCCGACACGCTCTTTCGGTGCACCCTCGAACCCACTTTCGGCGGCAGGTGTAGCAGCGGCGGAGGCGTAGGGGTTCGTCTTCGTTTCTATCGGAACCACAGGAGTCGGAGCGGGGGGAGGTGTTGGGGCATTACGGACGTTGGCCTTGATGGACGCGAACTTCGGCTGCATGGGCTTGTATCGATCCTTCTTCGACTGAGGAAGTGTAGGTGTATTGTCGAGCAGCAGAGGGTGGGCAGCCATCTTGAGACCAGCGCCTTGCTGAGTGGGTTCGGGAGTTACGACGTTGCTATTTTTCTTCTTCCCCTGCTGAGGAACAGACTATGGGTGGGGTGAATCAGCACGATCAAGTCTGCGACTATGACAAGGCATGGGCTACGACGCACCATGTACGGGTTGTCCTTCACAGCCAACTTGCTCTGGGCTTCCGCTACACGCCTCTTTGCCTCAGCAATACGGCGCGCCATGTCATCCGGGATAGGAGGGGAGGGTGATGCTGCAGCAGAAGCAGAAGCAGACGCGGAGACCGACGCGGCGGCGGACACCACGGGAGGACGGGGGGCGGCGGAAGGAGTAGCAGACGCGCCCTTCTTCATGGCCGCAATCTTCGCCGCGATCTCTGCCCTCTTCTGGGCAATGAGCGCATCCGCTGACAGCTGTTGTTGCATGCATTGATGAGGGTGGTGCCACGCAGAACGATGAATCAACTCACCGCTGGACCTGAAGGCGTGCCATTGGAATGAGTCTGAACGGGCACAAGAGGGTTATAGCGCAAACGTAAGGCATCATAAGAAGCATATTCACCTTCACGAGACAGAGGAATGGGACTCACGGCATCGCTGCAACGAGACGGGCATTAGATGACTGTGCACGATGTTAGCTGACCATGCGCACCTTCTCGGTCTTTTAGCTGTACTAGCGTCTCCATTGCCTTCGTATCCGCGTTTCCTGTCGCTCATGACGCCTGGAGCGGGCAGGAGGAGAACTCGAGGATGTGGGCGAGAGCGAGAACGTGGAGCGCTCGTCGAGGCCACATAACGGTCGTGTTTGTACCAATAAGTATAAGTGGGGTTATTAGGCGTTACTTTTGACATATTGCACAGAAATGTTGTCAAATGCCGGAGGCGGCCCACTTGCCGAAACCCTGCAGTCCTTCGCTGCATCTTGTCCCTTCCCCTCGCCATGGCTCCTCGTCGACACCGCTCCGTTTCCAATGTACAAAACCCACAGAACTCTCCCGCACCTCCACAACGCACCTTCACACCCTCAGTAAACAACTCACAACGACAACTCGGCATGATTCCTGCTGTCTACCAGAGCAACATGAAGGTCCTACTTCGACGGGAACCTACCATAACGGCTATCATCGACCAGTTCAGCCACGTCTGTCTTTACCATCACAATGGGCAGAAATGGGAGAAACATGGATATGAAGGGAGCATGTTTCTATTCGAGAAGTATGTTGTGTTCAATCGCGCGAACTTCTCGATTTCCCGGACTAAGGCTAGTCTGCAGATCCACATATCCTCCTTATGGTTTCTACATCCTCAACCGCATGGGGACTGACGATTATGTCCGACCAATCTACCCCGAAGATGACATGGAGATCATTGGGGATTACCTGATGTGTCGCTTCTACCCCGACTTCACAAAGACCCGGCTAGACATGGGTCTCCCCTACCCGATCCCTCCAGAGCATCGCGCAACCTTCGACATGGAGCTGCTCAGGCGTCTCCCTCCAGAAGAGCTCACGAAGAACCAGGACAAGGAGAAAAAGGGTCGTTCGACTACTCTTGGTCTATGGATGTTCGCAACGGATGCACGGGAGCCTTTGAAGGAGGTTATGATGAGGTACGTGTCGTTTCCTCAAGTCAACCCCTCCACATTGTTTTGCTTGTACGGACTACCGCGTCATCATGCGGGCATCTGTGTTGTATTCCATCTTTTGTTCTATTCCTCAAGTATGTCGTGCTTAATATGAGCGCCTCAATGAACACCCGAGTCGTGTGTGGTCGTACTTCGAGGGCATGGCGGGGCTCGGAAATCATGATGGCTTTTCGATTGTATCACGATGTGTGCCCTCGCATATGCTCATCTTAGTCATAGATTGCACTCGCACGTTAAGCAAGGACTACCCTACCCCGAGGAATACCGATACGGTCCTGGCCGTCCTCCACCGCCTAATCCACACTTACGAACCGAGAGCCGTGCGTCAAATCAAGCCTCCGCAGGTACGTGAGTGCTCTTTTGCAGTGGTATGTATGCTCAGTATGTAGGGAGCTATGGCGACCGCGCACCTAGCGCTGTAGCGACGAACGGCACACCAGTCAATCCTGCGGTCCAATCTGGTGGTGCTGCGGCTCCTGCTGCTGCTGCGACTCCCGCCGCCTCAAGCTCAGAGCTCGACAAGCTTTTTGCTAAACTGATCACCCCTTCCCCGTCTGTGAATGTTCCGCCTGCTGCCGCAGCAGCCGAGCCACCGAAAAACATTCACGACTTGTTCGCAGCCCTCAGCGGGAACAGCTCAGCGACCAAGAACGCTCCCGCTCTCCCACCGGCGTCTGTGCCCGCCGTCGAGCCGTCCCCACAGACTGGTATCGCCCTGCTCGACTCGATTTTTGCTTCCGTTTTGCCATCCGGACCCTCCTCTACTGCCATCGCCCAGCCCACGGGACCCTTGCCTCCTCGGCCTGAAGAGATCGTCATCGTCTCCCCGAAACCGACGTCCTCGGCTTTGCCGCAGATCCTAAACCAAGACGTCATCTCGTCACTGCTTGGTCTCGCACCTGATTCCCGAGCATCATCCGCCGCACCGAGTTCCGTTGGATCGCGTAGATCTGCTCAGCATAGATACGAAGGCGACAACGAGTTCAGCGAGGGCGACCAGACATCAGATGGCGAGCCTCGCAGATACAATCCTCGCCCGGGCGCGAAGTCAGGCAAGGGCATGCCAATCTTCGCTGCCCCACAAGCACCTTCATCCGAGTCAGAACCTGAAACAAGCACGGTCAACGGTTCGCGGCGTGTCCCGGGCGACGTCACGCCCCGTCCTCCAGCGGGTGGCGTGAAGTTGCCTCCTATGTCCCCCCCGCAGTTCCAACAGCAGCGAACTGCGACCCCGAACGCCAACACAAATGGCAAGGTGCCACTGACCGGTGCTGCAGCACAATCTCCTGCACCCGGGTCCGCTTCCGCCCCGCGGCAACGCACTTTGGTGCCCTTCGAGGCCAATTCAGACCTGTGGCCGTACCCCCGTGCGCCGCTTGACGACCGCTCGTTCGAGAACGATGACGTCGTGGAGCTCGACTTCTCCGACACGCGCGCGCTGAGCGATCCCGCGATCTTCTCGTCGCGCCTCAAGGACAAAAAGGAGAAGAAGGACAAGAGGGAGCGGAAGGGCCGCAGGGAGCACGAGAGGGAGAAGGCAGAGAAGGCGGACAGGGAGAAGGCGGAGATCGAGAAAGGATGGGACATCCCGACGCAGACGCAGGTTCAGCCTCCCTACCAGGCTGCTGCTACGGGGCCTGTTGCCGAGGCTGCGAAGGCGCACGCTGGAGGGCCAAAGGCTCCCGCACTCACCAAGAACGGGAAATCCGCTGGTGTGAACGGTTCAGGAGCGGTGAACGGTGTTTTGGCAGCAAGCCAGGATCAAGCGCCGGATACCGTCGCTGCGAAAGACGCTATCTTAAATGCACTGTTGGGGAAGGGGCCTGCCCAGCCGGATATTGGGAGAAACGAGTTCATTCGCGAGCTCCTCACCCTCATTCATGTGAGTCTATGTAATCCTTTGTTGCTATGCGCATCACACTGACAGTTTTACGCAGACCGACTCACAGTTCGTTGATAAGCTATATCAAGACTACCTCTCTCGTTCCGCCTGATTCGCCCCTCACACTATCTTCGATCATCACCGTCGTTTCTTGGTAGACCACTACTTGTTTCATGCTTTTCTGTTGCATGTCGGCACATCGTTCGAATATCTGCCCGACTCGAGCTCACTCTCCCTTTGTGTTTCATATGCGCATGCTCAGACCATTGTCTCTGACCTCATCCCTTATCATTTTGTTGTATCGCTCCCACGCTCACTCGCTCTTCGTGATGTTTTGCGTCTTCACCGCTATCCTCTTACGGGGCTCATCCTGTCACTGTATCGCATCGCTATGAAAGAGTACCACATTCGCTTGTCGAATATCATGTCGTCAGAATACCTCGTGCGCATGGCATTCAAGCGCTCTAGGTACAATCATCAGAGCACAGCCACATACTCAACGCTTGGTGGCTAGGCTAGCCCGCGCGTTCGTGTGAGTCGACATGGTCATCTGCAGATCATAAGTCGTAGCTCCGATGTATATGTGGCATTCCACCTGATTGCGATCTGAGGTGTCACTTTCTTAAAGAGAGCCTAAGTATCAACTATCCGGGTCGCTGTATCGAGTCCGGACGTATCATTAGCTTGCGGGGGATCAAGAGAGATATAAAGAGGCGTTTGCAATGATGAGCGACATTCTCTATCAGTATAATGTAGAGCATATCAACGTTATACATGCAACGCACGATCGATAGGTCAACAACTTCCTGAGAAGTAATTGTGGTAGGTTCAGCGTGGGATCTGCGGGTGTGTTGATATCGTAAACATTGCTTCTCCAAAAGTGCTGCTACTGTGTGTAAGAAAGCGATGCTGTTACTGCGCAGAGCCAAATATCTAGTCTATAACCACCAGCAGTCCATTCATGTAATACTACATAACAATACGGAACGGCACGACCGAGTAAGATACATACAAATGGGTGTTGAACAGGCGCTGGTTTACACAGCTTGCCTAACACAGCCGTCACAAGATATGGAACGGCACAGCCGGTTACTGCAATAACCGAGGCTGTACTACTCATGTGGTACACACACAGCTTCGCTGTGTACGCACTGCTTCTCTGTGCGACTGTGCATCCTGGGAATGTACTGTATAGTACTACGTAGCCACAGATGTACAGTAGTATATATAGGGGACCTCTGT